TCAAAAGATGGGGAATTAGGTCATTGAAGCCAAAGTAATTACAAGGACTAATGTAGGGTATACTGTATTTATTTCAAAGATTACTCTTTCACCCACTGATAAAGAGTGACCATTTGTGATAAAACGGAGATGATTTCCTTTATGGTTGGCTTTTGCTATGAGTATTAATAAAAGTTAAGGGCAAACTTCTCCATCTGGATTGAAAATCTTAATACAAAATAAAGGTGGTGAGCCTAATGATTTCATACAAAATATTGTTTATAATGAAGTCTTCTAGGATATATTGCTAAAACAGGTGTCATACATATATTTAATAAAAAAATATATAGTCTTCTTAAGTTATTTAAGTTGTACTTTTAGTGCATTATTTCTTTGTTAATTATCAATTATAACTTTTTCTTTTAATTTTAGAATGAGGCCTCCTCTACCTAAAGTTTACCGAAGATTCAGCCATCAATTTGTGATTAGAAGACTAAGGAGGGAATTTAATGAAGAAATGTTGGTTGAAGGCACACCAATGAAGGATCATTGTTTAAAGAAAATCCAACTTGCATCAAAATTAAGGGATTATGGTTTTGACATACTTCCTCAATCTATAATTAATGCCATTATTAGTATTTTTGGACTAAAATGGAGTGGTGCAATTGATAATATATACTCGCTCAGCAATCCAGATGATTTATTGGCATTAACAGATCTATTGATGGAAAAGAGCGCGATATCAATAGCTTATGGATTGAGTTCGAACAAAGGCTGAAAGAAAAAGGGGCATCTCTCTTAAATCATTGTACCACCAAACAAGACTTGTTTGATCAATTGCGAAGAAAATGTTTTTTAGTGATAGTAGAAACTTTTTACCATGCATTTGTTTCTACATTACTACCACCATTATCAGAAATGGGCTTGCAATACACTGTAGAGCAGACACCATATGATTTTCAGGATTTAGTGGATTTCGAGAATGAGGCCATGATGATCGTTGCGATTGAAGAAGTTGAACACAACTTAATTCATTCTAATCATCAATATAGTTAGCAAATATCACATCATTTTGTTTTTCTAATAGACAATGCATTAGTGAACAATATTGTTTTGTTAATTAGCAACACTTTTTTGAATGTATTACAAATTATATATATATCCTCATGAAGATTTTTGTCTTAATGGATATTGATTTATAACTTTAATTCTCTCACTCATGCAAATTCAATTTGATTACTCTGACAATTTGAAATTTTCTTATTTATTTAATTATCTTAACAGAATGACATTTCACCCAACTTTAATTTCTAATATGAAATTTTCAAAAAAATATTGGGACCTAAAAGATCGCCTTATCACAAAGTTTGATGTTCATTCATTTGGAGGGGGTAATAATATTCAAAAAGTGTGCAAATTGTTATTTGTTGATTCTCATGTAAGTTTTTTATGCAAAATAGATTTTAGTGTTTTATTTTATTTACATGAACAATAATAATAAATTAAATCATGTTGCAATTTGTAGGGGGGATGACATTGAAGTCAAAATGTTTGGTGTAGAAATTGTAAAGTTTTGGAATGAATTAAATGATGAAATAGTATATTGCATTTCGAAGTTGGCAATTGATTGTGCTGATACTAATTATACTGTAAGTCAAACTAATATAAAAATGAACTTCACTCGACAAACAAAGATTATATATAGTTTGAAGAATTGCCTAAAAATTCCTCTATATAAATATAACTTTGTTACATTTGATCATATTGCGAAATACGTTGGCAAAAATGTTTTTATAGGTATATTTCATTTTGCTCTTATCTTATACATTTGTTCATATTACAATGTATGTTTTGCCTTTGGTATAACTTTTTCATTTATTATAGATGTTATTGGAGCAATTATTTATTTGGGCAACACTTCCTTCGTGTATTCAAACTTGAAAAAAAAAATTCTTTTATTAGACCAATAATCAGTTGATGTAATATGTTCATGCATATTGATAAGTATTATTTAATTTAACATCATTTTAAATATGAATATTTGTTTTTTTTTTGATAGATTGGTTCCAATGAAGTTCACTTTATGGGATAGATTTGTTGATGTTATTGAATCACATGCTATAGAAATAAAAGAAGAATTTACAATTATTATTGGAAGTTTCTTAAAAGCAATACATTATAGAGGTCACTTTATATTTTGATAGATTTAAAAGTAAAAATAATATAATTTCCTCTTACATTAAAGAATTTGACAACAGGACAAAGTATAACGAATGTAAAGACCACAAGATTGTCTTTCAATTCCTTTACTAAAGAGGAAGAATTACTTCGGTCATGGTAAATAAAATTTAATAATAATTGATATAGTTGAACTATTCCTATGAGTTAATTTAATATTTATTTGTTTACATTACAGGTTTGATGACAATGAAGAAGCAGTCAAAATGGTTCAACACTATTATAAAATGTGGAGAGTTTAAAGTAGTTTTTTTTTTCTGCATAGAAATTACATTAATGAAGTCTATTAATTTTTTACATTAATTACACTAATACATTAGTGATGTCTATTTTTTTTGCTGCATTATTTTATATCACTTTTTTTACCAAATCCTGTGCATCGCATGGGTCCCCGCTAGTATGTATTATATTCATTAAATTATCATATTCCCACATAAGCAACAAACTCACCCATTGCTTCTTGTTAACCCAATTAGTTTAAGGCACCAATTGTTCTATTAATGGAATATTAGGCTTATAATGTTGCTTCTTTAAAGTGTTCTTTCATTATTTTTACTTCATATTCAAATATTTTTAAACCCAATTAGTCTTTCTCTATATGAAATATGAAAAATATAAATCAATATTATATTCAATGAAATACATAATAACAAATGAAAAGAGAATATAAGAAAGATAACTTATCACATAATACCTTGATACATTCCCATGTATGGCTCTTACATTCATGTGACATTTGTTTCCAACTTTCTAAATCAGTAGATGTAATGTTTTAATTTCTTGTAATGATACTAATAAAATGTGCTATGGCGCCCCCTACTTCAAAAGAGAATATAAGAAAGATAACCTGTCGCATAATACCTTGTTACATTCCCATGTATGGCTCTTACATTCATGTTATACTTGTTTTCAACTTTCTAACTCAATAGATGTAATGTTTTAATTTCTTGTAATGATTCTAATAAAATGTGCTATGGCGTCCCCTACTTGATCTACAGTTTGATTAAAACCATTAGTAGGAATAAATTTAGAGCCTTTCATATTGTAAATGTCCATACGATATATTGGCCCTCTAGTTTGCTTATAATGTGAGGGCTTTGGTTCTATAGTTGATTGTGAAGCACTTTGATTAGAAGATTTTTCATTGCATTTTGCATCAACATTTTGTTGTTGAGCATGTTCTTGATGTGAATCATGTTGTTGCATTTCAAGTAATTGAGATTGTTTCTTGTAATTGAATTTGTTTGGGTCATGGTTGAGCTGGCCTTAAATGCCACGTGGCCACCCAGTTACCTCAGCCACATCGGCACCGCCCTACCAGCTCCGCGGCATACACCGACTCTGTGGCCATGACAGCGCTGCGCTACTTCCGTAGCCTCCACCTTATCATCTCAGCCACGTCAACTCCACGTCATGTGGATAAGAATGGCCAAGAACAGGAGAGGGATGGTGATGACTCCGCTGGGTATTAGGACTCTATCCCAAAGACCTCGGTGGTTAACCTCATCCCAACAGCCCTAGAAGCCTAATCTGATCAGGACACGGACATTCGGCTATAAAAAGGTATGCCCCACTCAAGGTAAGGGATTTCAACTTCTAGCACCCATACTGTTACCTTGCTCGGACTAGCACCCTCATTGCTCAGCTCGATCATCCACCACCTTCTACTGACTTGAGCGTCGGAGTGCCTACCCGAAGATAACTCCTCGGGCCTCTGACATCCTTTCTTGATCACAGGTCTTGAAGCGTGGCTTCGTCCTTCCACCTCGGCTCCACCTTGTTGGCAAGGACTATTTGACTATAACCTCAGTTCGTGCACCATCTTGGATCGAGCAGCATTAGATTGGCATCGTCTGTGGGAAACACACAAAAATCCTTTCTTGAAATATCTCTCTCAGTAGGCAATCAAGAAAGCGATCAAGATGCCTAGAAACCATTTCGAAAGATCAATAGGTTGATCCCCATCTTGGGATCTCGCCACCGCAGCTCCCCACACCAAGAAACTCAACAGCCTCTAGCTGCGGTCGACCCTGTGCAATTCCAGGCAATGCAAGAAAAGGTCGACAAGATCTTTGAGATGATGTTGACACTAGGGTCCATGGCACCACCCAACCAGACCATCCCCCCTCTCGCCCCGACATGTACGAAGGACGATCCTCGCCTCGAGGACCCCAAAATGCGCCAGTCGGACAATAAGGGAGCGCGGTCCCATCAAGAAAGGCAACATACGAAAAGAAAGTTTATCTCCTCCGCTTGCTCTCATGAACCTGACAACCGTAGCAGGATGCATTAGACTACACGGATCCTCAGGAAAGAAAGGCTCGACAAGCGGATGCTGCCCCATGTGGTCTCCATTGTCGAGTCTAGTTAAAAGACCACCCTGCACAGCCCAAGAAGGAGAGGGCTACGCACACCACGGCCCCAAACAATAGGGACGCCGAGATTCGGGAGCTCCGACAATGTTTGATGGAGTTGGAGCACAGCCAAGTTTAGAGAAGCACGACACCACTTATAGACCAATAAGTGTAGCTGATAGTTCAGCCCATTAGAGAGCCGCCCTTCGTCCAAGAGATAGTGGACGAGATATGTCCTGCGGGGTGGCGGGCACCTCAGTTTGACAAGTACGATGGAAATACCGACCCTGGCGACTATATTGAAGCACTGAAGGCTTAGATGACGTTGCATGGATCATCCGAGGGCCTAATGTGTAAAGCTCTCGTGGCTCTCCTTAAGGGCCGAGACTTGACCAAGTATTCCTCCCTTCCCCCACGCTCCATAACATCATGGGAGCAGTTGGAGACCCAGTTCCTGACGTAGTTCACAGTGAGCCAAAAACACTAGAAAACTTTGGCCAGCCTCATGCAAGTATGGCAAAGGAAGAAAAAACCCTCCTTAGACACTAGTCGTGCTGATGGGCCATGCCTAGAAGTACATCAACGTGGAAGAAGCCCAGGCACAACTACGGGATGAGGAAGAAAGGCTCGACAAGAAGATGAGGGACACAAAGGAGCGGAAGGCAGAGAGATCGGATTGGGATCATAAGAGGTAGGATCGCCGGCTCGACCGCAGACCATGGACGCCCCTGCTAACCTATCGGAACTTCACGCCATTGAACACACCGCGGTCTAACATTCTGATGTAGATTCACGACCACAATTATGTCTGATGACCTAAAAAGATGAAGACACAGGGAAACAGAGGAACCACAACAACTATTGCGAGTTCCATAGGGACCACAGCCATGACACGGACAATTGCATCGACCTCGACAACCACATCGAGGACCTGATCAAGCACGGGTACCTCGGTGGATTCGTCGACAAGAGCGAGAAGCCAGCACAAGAGGAGTCGCGCATAGAAAATGTTCGGCCACCACCCCGAGCTCCTCCCGCTAGCGTGATTCATGTGATATCAGGAGGGATTGTCGCGAGAGGAGAAAGCAGCTTAGGGCGTAAGAAGTACACGCATTTGTGCGAGATCGACAACCAGGGACAGAAGAAGAGGCAAGACGACCCGGTCACCTTCACCGATGACGACCTCCAAGGGGTCCAAACCCCACACAATGATGCCTTGGTGATCACAACCAAGGTTGCCAACTTCGAAGTGTGGCGCATTCTGGTTGACACAGGTAGCTGCGTCGATGTCCTCTTTGAAGAAGCATTCGAGAAGCTCGGCATCGACAAGGACCACCTCACCCCCGTCAACACTCCTCTGATGGGTTTCTCCGGGGAGTCTCTCATGTTGACTAGGAGGATAACCCTCCCCCTTTTGATCGGAGATGGCGACATCACTGCAACGACCATGGTGGATTTCTTTATAGTTTGTTGCTCCTCATCCTACAACGCCATCCTCGACAGGCCGACACTCAATTCTCTATAGGCCTCGGTTTCCACCTTCCACCTCACCATGAAATTTCCAACCTAATACGGCATAGGGGTGAAACATGGAGACCAGAGGACTATACGGCAATGCTACCTGCTTTCTTGCCGAGGACCACGCCCTGCCGTAGAGACGCTAATGGCTGAAGCCTATGACCTGCGGGATGACGTGAAGACGTAGTGTGACCAACCTGTCGAAGACCTCATCCAGGTGTTACTCAATGAAGAAGACCCCGAGAGAACGGTCTAGGTCAGCTCTCGCCTGAACAACTGCCTTTGGGAAGACCTAGTACAACTACTGAAGGATCATGCTGACGTGTTCGCTTGGTCGGTGATAGATATGTAGGGGATCGACCCTGAGGTCATCACCCACTGCTTGAACGCCAACCCGTGCTACCGACCCATTAGGCAAAAGAAGAGAAGCTTTGCCGTAGAATGGTGGCAAGTGATCACCGATGAGGTCAAGAAATTGCTCGATGCCGGCTTCATTCAGGAAGTAAAATACCCCTACTAGTTGGCCAACGTGGTGATGGTGAAAAAGGCCAATGGGAAATGGAGAATATGCATTGACTTCATCGACCTAAAAAAAGCCTGTCCCAAGGACAGCTTTCCCTTATCGAGGATCGACCAGTTTGGCAACGCAACGATAGGACACAAACTCCAGAGCTTTATGGATGCTTTCTCAGGATACAATCAAATCCAGATGCACCGAGACGACCAGGAGAAAACAGCCTTCATCACCGACCGTGGATTATATTGCTACATGGTGATGCCTTTCGACCTCAAGAACGCCGGTGCTACCTATCAACAGATGGTGAACGAGGTCTTTAAGGATCAGCTCGGCCGAAATGTAGAAGCATACGTGGATGACATGATCGTGAAAAGCAAGAAGGTCGAGCATCACCTAGACGACCTTAAGGAAGTCTTCAGCACCCTCAAGAAATATAGGATGAAGTTGAACCCAACCAAATGCACCTTCGGGGTCAGCTCTGACAAATTCTTGGGGTTTATGGTGACACAGAGGGGAATTGAAGCCAACCCAAAAAAAAAGAAATACAAGCCATCATCGACATGCAATCACCCTAGACGCACAAGGAAGTGTAGTGCCTCACCGGCAGAATAGTCGCCCTCAGCAGATTCGTGTCCAAATCCGCAGACCGGTGCCTGCCTTTCTTCAAAGCCCTCAAGTGATCAAAGGAATTCCAATGGACTGAAGAATGTGAATGGTTCTTTCAAGATCTTAAGCAGTACCTGAGCTTGCTGCCTCTCCACCAAACCGAGCCCGGGGGATGAGTTGTTGCTCTACCTCTCGGTCGGGGACAAGGTTGTCAGCTTGGTACTGGTCAAGGAGGAAGACCGGGTACAGAGGCCAATCTACTACACCAGCAAGGTGCTTGGTGGCACAGAGACCCGATGCTCTAACCTGGAGAAAATGGCCTTGGCGCTAGTCACCTTGGCAAGAAAGCTCAGACCATACTTCCAAGCTCACAGCATCCGGGTACTTATTGGCCAGCCCCTCAAGCAAGTACTCTAGAGGTTGGAAGCATCTGGCCACCTAATCAAATAGAGCGTAGAATTGAGCGAATTTGACATCGACTACGCACCTTGGCCCACAATCAAAGCCCAGTCCCTTGCCGACTTCATCACAAAGTGTACCTTCACCACACAAGACCCGGCCCCAGAGCCATATGGACTCTCCATGTGGACGATTCATCAAACAAACAAGGTAGTGGGGCTGTCCTCATCCTCCTTGGCCTAGATAACACAATACTGGAGCACGCCCTCAGATTTGAGTTCCAAGCTTCCAACGACGAAGTTGAGTATGAAGCCCTCAACGACTCTCTGCTAGTTGTCAATTAGATACATGGTCAGTTCGAGACGCGAACACCCACGATGGCGAGCTACTTACAAAAGGTATAGGAGATCATCCAAAGTATCGAGCAGTTCAGCATTCAGCAGATCCCCCGAGTTGAGAACATCCGAGCCGATGCATTACTGAAGCTATCTAGTTCATCAAAAACCAACCTAGACTCCACAGTGCGGATGGACACTCTGGCCCAGCCAAGCATCACACTAATGGCCCTCCTCATCCACCCAGTACAGCACGACCCATCTTGGATGGATACCATCACCCAATACCTCCAGGATGGCACACTTCCAGAAGGCTGGACAGAAGCTAATGAAGGGATGAGAGATCCATCACAAGGACGCCCACAAGTTGTGGAATAGGGTGGGCGAATTTCAAAAATTTCTTTCCATTCAACTGGGAATCATATTCCCTATTTTAGAAAAATAATATTTTTCAATGATCAATCTTGAACCATGAATCGAACCAGATTTGAAACGAAACAGTAGGAGAGGGATATACCTGATACAAAGAAATAATATCTCTCAATGGAGGTGTTCACRCCCAAAGAAGATCACCAAAGACTGCTCCCACTGAAGATGACACAGTGGATGGAGGAGCAGAATCAGCAGGGTCCGTTCCACGAACCGAATTCTTCAGCAAGAATCCAACAGAGGCAGTGAGCACAACTTCCTATCAGCCTTTCAGCAAAGACTGATGTCAAGATCCAATCTTGACCACTCCTACAATGTTGGAGAACGAACTGACAGTATGGCGATGGCAGGAAGGGATCACAGGGAGAAGGCGCAGTCACACTGTGTATTATTCTCTCTGTAATTCGAGAACTAGTATCTCTGGAATTTCTAGGATAGTTTTGATGGTTCACCCCCTCCTGCTTTTATAGGCTTAAAAAGATCAGCTCCTGATCCTATCAGGAGTTTCCTAATTCATATCATTATCTGAATTTGGACTCTCTTTAAGTGATAAGGATAAGACCCTTATCTTATCTATAGATTAGATTAGCCTTCTCCTGATCTTATCAGGAGGTTTCCAGATCTAAATTCAGATCAGGTCTCTCTGAGTGGATAGGTAGGACTCTATCCTATCTGCTGATTTAATCCCAGATCTGCCCCCTCTATTTAAGTAATTAAAAGGGGCTAGTTCGAAATGGGCTTCAGGCCCAACAAGTCCATGTGCTCAAAACTGCTTCCAAACTGCTGCCCAGTTGGGCTTCTTTGTATGGCGTGGGACCCAAGCATTGATCTACACATCAGCCACATGGGTTCGGCCCAGCCTTTGTTACAAGGCCTGGCCAAATACACTGTTGTGGACAGTGCACCCCCTAAAACCCATCACATGGGCTTCTATTGGTTCCAACACTTACATTAAGGGGTCCCTGGGCCAAGCCACCTTATAAAACCCAGGGACTGTGGGCAGATGCAAGATTAGCCCATCAGGCATTAACCTCAGTGGCCTTACACTTGACCTCTCAGCCCATAATGGTCAAACACTGCCCGACAAGAGAGAACCTCTCCCTCGGCTACAAGGAGCAGTGTTGCACTCTCTGCAAATATGGATCCCGGGAATTAAAACCTTTTGCAAACATTTTAGAAATCGTAATATATATACTTTTATATCTCATATAAAATATATTTTGCAAAACAAATCTCAACGATTGAAATCGAYTGCCGGCAGTCTTGGTTTCCATCAGWGAGAGTGCATCCCCGATCATTACCTTTGTCCGACAAAGGGGCTGATCCTGTCACTATGATCACCCACTCAGATGAATTCTCAGACTATCCCAACATACCTAGGTTTTGACCCCCGCTAAGGATCTCACTGATTGGTACACCAAAGACAGCCCAATCCGACACCTGATGCAGTATTATAATCGAGTCTAGGGGTTAGGTGTAACTTTCCAGTTTTGCCCATTAATCTCCAAGGTCCAGGGAAATACTGAAAATTTGGTCCGATTCAAAGATTCAATTAATCCCACACTGCATGTGCCTTGGGTCTCACCCTAGCGGTTGAGACAGGCCACCCCAATCGACTTGGTGGCACATCAATGTCAGCCTTATTAGGATAGGTCTCCCCAGACCGACCCACCGGCTATGAACATTATAAACTAACACGAGTCTCATTAAGTGTTCAGTTTAAGGGTATAACACAGAAACAAACCACAAGAACATGAATCAAATATGCACTTTACTCATTTACAATAAATGTTAAAAGTACATCATTCTGATTGGAGCTAAGGGCATACAAAGACTGTCTAACATCTCCCACTTGCACTTAGGTCCAATCTGGTACAAGCCGGAGTCCCATGCTTTCCACGTGTTTCTTAAACACTTTCTGTGATAGTGGCTTCATCAATGGGTCTGCTACATTTTCCGCTGACGCTACCTTCTAAATCAGGACGTCCCCTCTACCAACAATCTCCCGTAGTACGTGGTACTTCCTCTCGATGTGCTTTGACTTCGAGTGGGCTCGTGGCTCCTTAGCTTGAGCAATTGCTCCACTGTTGTCGCACAACAACGAGATGGGTGATGTGCTGGACGGAACTACTCCTAACTCGTGAACGGACTTCTTCATCCACACGGCTTCTTTGGCAGCCTCGCTTGCAGCAAACAACACACGATCCTATCGCAAAAATATATCAAGATGTAGACTTTCTATCATCTAGATCCGACTGGAAATCGGCATCAGTATACCCTTGGATCTGTAGTGAACTACCATCGAATACTAGACAAAACTCTTTCGTCCTTCGTAGGTATTTGAGTATATTTTTCACAGCGGTCCAGTGCTCCTGCCCTGGGTTGGCTTGGAATCGACTTACCACACTCACTGCCTGAGCAATGTCAGGRCGAGTGCACAGCATGGCATACATGATGCTCCCTACGGCAGAGGCATAGGAACGTCTTTCATTTCATCAATCTCCTCAGAAGTCTTGGGAGACATCTTCTTGGAGAGAGTGACTCC